CATTTGCATGTTTCCAAGCAATACAAGGCGTTGTCTATATAAGACTCAAACTCACTGCGGATCCAGACATTTGAATTGAGAAAGCTTCCTGGAGAGGTGGCGAAACGTCTTCAAATCTTGGAAACCAAGTCCAGTGGATATTTTTTTGAAGTTTTACGGAATGACTATGACCTGGATGACTGAGAACCTTCATCAGCACTTTTCCTTATTATTGAAATTCCCAAATATTTTTTTTTAATTAATTGAATCTGAAACTACTAACCCTCTTCTTTTGGCAAAGCAAGAACATTTAAATTGAAATCTATAAAAATCATTGAATATTTGTATGCTTTTTTTAAACAGAAGGATCTGATTTAATAGACCGACCCCAAAAAGCTTTTTTACACTGACATGGCTCTTACAACTCATTCCTCAATTCCTCAATTTCTACCCTGTCAGTAAATTATGCATACACAAATGTGTTATACAAACTGAAGCTTTAATAATAATTCTCATTTATAGACTTACTAAAAACAAGCATTTGTGTTTACAACATGTTTAATATTAGCAAGAAGCTTGAGAAGATGTTACAGCTGAGATGTGCTGAATTAAAACATGAAGCCAACTAAATATAAACCTAGATTTCACATTAAACTGAGCGAACATACCAAATCAGTCTGTCTTCGCTTTGTAATGATGTTTTAACTGTATGTTTACTTTTAGCTTTACGAAAACCATGAAGCTGTGGTTGTGTACGCACAGCAGTGGACCTTCAAACAGCGGAGCAACAGTTATCACTTTGATGACAAAGACGAAAATGAAGCAGATTGTGAAAGTATCACAGCACCTGAGGAAATCTACTGCAACGAGGCCTTTCATGCATTCCAAAGGAGATGAAGACCAGTGACCTACAAATGTTAAAACCCAATATACACAGCATTATGGAAATATAACAATTCCTGGCTTTAAATCAGTCTCCAGGAACAGTTTATTGCCACTAAAATTATTTCTATTTACTGAATTCCAGCAGGATAACCAAGACATTTTTTTAAAGCTTTCTTAAAATTCTGAATTTTAATGGATATATTTAGCATTTGGTAGATTTACCTTTAAACTATATCTTTGATGTTTTTACCAAAAATTAGGTTGATTTTTGGCCTATTCCTCTTGACTTGTGTAAATGGGTCAAATGTGTTGAATCATTTTCTTGCAAACATATTCCCGCCTGTTGGACCAGTACCATTGGAATTTTATCAGAACAAGTTTAGCAGTATGATTAAGGTTTACGGTCTGTTTGGATAACTTTTTCAGGTCGCAGTTTTAACTTCTTGGCTGATCCCACAAGGGTTTCCACTGATTTTTTTGTTTTTACGATTTCATCTATTTTGCATCATGCATCTCTCCCTTCTGCGGCGTAACACCCACACCAGCTGATGCTGCCACATCCATCCTACAAAGCTTGGAAGGTTTTCTTTGGTTTGCAAACTTCCCCCTTTTTTATTTAAAGGCATCAGAGCTTATCACAGAATGCTTCAAATTTAACACCATAAAACCACAGGACATATCTCTAAAATAAGTTCTCTGTGCCAGACTGCATTTTCAAAAATTCAGTCTAAATTTCTTTGGTTGGAGTAAGAGTCTAAGCTTCTTTCTTGCATACAGTCTTTTAGAGCATAATGGTAGACAATAAAATTTATTATGGATAATGATGCTCTCTCACTAGTTTTAGCCAGTTTCTTCACGTAGTGTTTTAAATTTTGTCCTTGGTTTATTAGACTTTCCTTTAAAAATGTTTTCATCCTCAAACAGATAATCTGTCTTATTCCTATAAAGGCATGAGGGCCAAACATTCCCATGCTGTACCTTCTTGCTTATAAGTGAGCAAAGGAGTGTGGCACCTTAAGACTTCTGAACATTTTACCCATGGACAAACCAAATTTGTGGAAGTCCTCAAATTTCTACCATGATTTCCTTTGATGTTATCTAACTTTATGTAATCAAATGATGTAATGGCTTTAACAGTTAAGCTTATATAAAGCCAAAAGTGGACCTCCATTAGACTCAAATGCTCTATGTTAAATGTACAAAAGCTAACAAAAGCATTGTTTTAATCATCTACAATTTCTCAAGTTATGAAAACTTTTGACAGTGAACAACATAATAAAATCTGTAGTGAAATAAAAATTGCCTATAACGAGGTTCCTGCAGATCCTTAAAAAGTCTTACAAGGCATTACATTTTTCAACATAAAACTAAGGCTCTAATTGGTATTAAAATGTCTTCAATCAGTCTTAAAGTTGTTACCACGTCATATATAGGATTTAATTTTTAAATCCATATCAATCCATATCAAACATATCGGAAGTCATTGGCCGTGCACTCTAAACGGACAGATTACCCGCTACCAGACATAGGCAATGGATTTTCGATAATGACAGCAACCTGCCTTTGCGGTAAGGTCTGTAAGAACCTTAGGGGCCTGAGGATCCACCAGGCCATGATGGGCTGCATAAAGAGGAAGCAAGTAGAGCAACGCACAGAGCCAGTGCCAAGCACTGAACCTGGTGACGGAGGAGGAGCAGGAACCTCCATGCTCGACATGCTACACCTAGCAAACCATCAGTACAGTGTCAGGTTATTTGGCTGTCTGCAGTTTGACAAGGATGTTGATGTTACTATAAATACATCTTGCAAAGGAGAAGTTGATCAGCGACCCCAGTTGATGAATACACTAACCATCTGCAGCGGTGCAGAGAGATTTGGCATAAAGTTACTAAAGGCTCAGGACATCTTTAGGCCAAACCGGCATGAGACCAAGATCTCCCAGCTCAGGAAAGAGCTGAAAGTTTAGAACTGTCAGTAAGAGGGTGTGCAAGGAGGAAAAACCAGGGCTGAGTTTGGGGCCCCATGAAAGATATTTATATTGCCCCCCCCCCCCTTTAAAACTGCTATAAAGATGCACTGAAGAGTATAATTTACATTGTCAATGTAATTTTTGTTGTGATATTTAAAACATAAAACACAGCTGTATCTATGTACACATGAATAGAAAATAGATTTAGGATGGAGAACATATATTCCTATTAGGTTTCAATATAACTTTATTGAAGGACAGATTATTTTTATGCTGGCCCTGAGAGCTTATTCTTCATTCATCTGTGTGTGTAATGACAAAACATGTTTTTTAATGTGGCTGCTTAAGGCAGCTCATGAGAATGATCAAGATTTATAGATGTCTTTTAATTGTTGTGATTTAATCTGAATATACAAATCTAACTAAAATCTTTTAATATTGACACAGATTTTATTTAATTTACATATCCTGTTAATCATCTAATTGCATTTAACTGATGTTAACCTCTGATAACTATGGTGTTTTCCTGTTTGCTGGTTGGTAAAGGTAAATTCTCAGCTCTGTGAGATTTCTGGCTTAGTTGTTTGGCCTTTTTGTTATTTACAGACACACAAAAGGCTCAATCAATGCTGGATTCATCCTGTTTTTTCTTAAAAATTAAAAACAAATCAACAAAATAATTTTAAAAACTGCAATCATTCTCCGTTTCAGACAGCACCCAGCTGGGCAGCATCATTAATGATAATTCCCCTCTGACATTGGGGAAGAATAACTACGTAGTTGTACCCTGCAGATAGCAGTTTTATTTTACCCAACGGGTTAATAATCTATCATTAATTTGAAATATTCAATTAACAACCCTTTCTGGAAAAAAAAGAGAGGGCGGAAAAACTGGTAATGGACGCCTTCTCTCTCTCCTCTTTCTCTTCCTTTTTCAAACCCAGACTTTTGGCCGCTGCATTTTTCAGCCACAGATGTTTTTACCACACTGCTGCTTATTTACACATTGCTCTTGCTAATGTGTTACTTTCCTTGTCATTATGTCAAAAGACGCGTGCGTAGCATTTAAGCCCCAGTACGAACGAACTGCCAATGACAGACAGCGAGACCTGACACGATGCCATGACATGAGGACCAAAAATGTATTGCAATTTCACAAGAAGGGGTTGTCAATATATTCATGCTTTGTTTCACTGTTTACTGCTAAAAATTGAGGGAGGACATGAGGATTATTTATTTTACTATTGATTTTCTTTTTATATTTGAAAAATATAGCGCTTCATAAATCCTTTTGGATTTATTAAGTGGCTATTGGGACAGACGCGGAGTGGGACCATGCGATGCTCAGAGAATGAGATCAACCAGAGCCTTAGTGCTACATACAGTGATAGCAGGAGGGAGGAAAACCTGCCTACCTTCAGTGAGCTACCCACACCTCCAATACCCTCTGTCCAATTTGACATCAAGGAACCCATGCTGGCAGAGGTCAGGAACATCAAACAAGCTGCACGTCCCAGTGCAGCCCAAGGCCCAAGTGGAGTGCCCTACAAAGTCTACAAAAAATGTGCGAGACTCCGGAGAGGCTCTAGAGACTTATTAGGGTAGTATGGAGCAGGGGGAAGGTAGCCCAACAATGGCGTACCTCAGAGGGTGTTTGGATACCCAAGGAGAACGCTAGTGACAACAAGCAGTTCTGCACCATCTCCCTACTCGGTGTGGAATGCAAAATCTTCTTTAAGATCCTTGCCAACAGGTTATCTGAGTATCTCCTGAGAAATTCCTACATTGACACCTATGTGCCGAGGGGTTGAGTCCAAGGCATGCCAGGCTGTTTGGAACATACAGGAGTGATCACCCAGTTGATCAGGGAAAAAAACGAGCAGACCGGGCAGTCCTCTGGCAGTCCTCTGTCAAACTCAGAATTGAGTACAAAGTCTCCCTCCTTACCCACCAGTGCATTCATGGTGATACCCCACAGACCTCAACACATAACCTCCGATCTACCTATCTGCTGAAACCACCTAGGACAAAGCTTCATACAATGGGAAATCAGGCTTTCTTTTCAGCTGTTCCCAGCCTGTGGAATGCTCTCCCTGGTCACCTGAGGACCCCACAGACTGTGAATGCTTTTAAATGTGGCCTTAAACCCACCTTTTTAGGAGAGCTTTTAATTGAACCCCCCCCTCCCCCCCAACCCCCACCCGCAAGTCCATCTAACCTTTATACCTGTGGCCTTGCAGAAGTGCCAACATACCCACTGTGCCCAGCTCATGGTTCCCTGGAGCACATGCTGAGCTGCTGCCCTAAAGTGCTGGGAGAGAGACGATACATGTGGCGCCATAACCAGGTGTTAAAGGCAGTAGCAGACACCATCTGCACGTGAATCCATGAGTTAAAGCAACGGTCTCCTTTGAGGCACAATATCTTCTTTGTCAGGGCAGGAGAGAAACCTGAGAGAGCAGGTAAGGGCACAACTGGACTGCTAGCCATGGCTCAGGTTTGGCAGTTGCATGTGGACCTTGGAAGTCAGTTACAGTTCCCAGAGCACAATCCAAGGACGACACTAAGGCCAGATCTGGTCGTAACATTTGACTCCACAAAGCAAGTTCTGTTACTGGAGCTTACAGTCCCCTGGAAAGACAGAATGGAGGAGGCTCATAAAAGGAAGAAAGCTAAATATCTTGAGCAGATTGAGGCATGCAGAGGCTGGATGGAGGGCCCGCTGTGAGCCAATAGAAGTGGGCTGCAGAGACTTCCTTAGTCAAACTGTGCATCGGGCATTCAGGCTCCTTGGCATCAGAGGGTTGCTTCAGAGAAGAGCCACCAGAAACATCAGTGAGACCTTGAAAGAGCCTCAAGGTGGCTGTGGATTAGTGCTGCTTGAACACAAACTGGGGCCTGATCAACCCCAGTTGGGTCACCCAGAAGAGGGTGTCTGAAGATCAAAGACTCAAAACACCCTATGACACTGGTTGCTTCACTGATGATGTGTTCAAGCTGCAATGGCTAAGTGTTTCAAAATCTATCGTGGCTTCACAATTGAGCAGTGGGTAACAGTGCCTTGCAGCAATTAGGTTCTGGGTTTGATTCATGGCCTGGGGTCTTTCTGTATGGAGCTTGCATATTCTCCGCGTGCATGCGTGGGTTCTCTCAGCGTACTCTGGCCTCCTCCCACTGTCCAAAAATGTGACTGTTAGGTTTATTGGCTTCTCTAAGTTCTCCTTAGGTGTGTGTCCTTGAATGTTTTTTGTCTCTGTGTTCTCCTGATGTACTGGCGTCCTCTCCAGGGTGTACCCTGCCTCTCTTCCATTGACACTTGGAGATAGGCACCAGCACCCCTCACGACCCCAGCAGGGATAATCATGATGGAAAATGGATGGATGGATAGATCAAACATATCAAATAATTGACTATATATATATTTTTTTACACTTACTGAACAGCTAGCTGTAACCGTTATTGGTTCCGTCCCGATAGACAAACTAATAAAAACCATGTTGCAGCCGGACCTTGGGGTGAGTTGAATAGCTGCTGCTCAGAGCAAAGACACACTTGGGCAAGTTGTTTGTAAAAAACATTTTTTTGCATGGTACAAAATGGCAGTCTGAGAATAATAAGCGGCACACTAAGCTCACGTTAGCTTTCAATTGATAACACTTTTCAATGGATAAAGTCAGGTTTTTAAACCACTTATTATGGCAAACAGCATGAAAGACCAGCATGTCTACTACTAGTACTACTGTGTGCAATTCAGACTAATCTACTGGTACTTCTGATGCTAGTTTTGCAGAGCACTTGACAGTGTGGTGGGAAGCAAAATCTGTCTCCTGTTAATTCCTTTTTACATTTATATGTATATATATATATATATATATACATATATGTGTGTGTATATAAATGTATATGACGGCCTACTGCAGAGGTCACGGATTAGCAGACCAGGGCCCAGATTTAGACCCACCTGCTGGCTAATCTGGACCCAAACTAATTTAAAGCATTTATACATTTCTGCATGTTTTCCAACAGCAGTGTCTAAGCGTCACTTGCACCACTTCTCCTGTTTGTATGGTAAAGCCAGGCTGCACATGATACAAGTTACCCAATGAGCTGCTGTCAGTCAGGGTTACTGCTGCTGGCTACTTTTAGACACAGCAGGCAAACCTTTGGCAAGCCATGGCGATGGAAAAGAAGGAGAAAATGTGTGGACTGCTGGGAGAAGCACAATGAACTAGATAAATAAACATGAAACGGCGTGCTCAAAGATGACCCTGCACATTTTGAGTATGTTTTGCTCAACCTACTGCTGTGAAGCAGGATTCTCCACTATGAACATAATCAAAAATAAATATCTACCCAGGCTCAAAATGAGCAGCTTGATATGTGCTTGAGGATGGCTTTGTCGCCATTCAAACCCAGTTTTGAAAGCCTTGCATTGCAGCCTAAAGCCGACTGCTCTCATTAAGCCATAAAAAGAAAGAAAAAACGTTTTATTAAAAAAAAAAGTGAGGCAGGAAATTGTCTATATACCAAACTGAAATACTGTTGTTCTCTACTTTAAAACCAATTTAAACTTTAATATGGAAAAACTTTCTATTTTTTATATTTTTTATTAAAAAAATCAATGTATAACATGGATGCATAAACACCCGGATTTTATTTCAGTGTTAAATGCTGTTTAAAGTAACAGATTATAATTAAAAATGTCTCTGGACCTCTACTGGTTGTTTGGGATTTTTTTGTTAAGACACCACTGATTTTTAATTGGTTACCCCTGGCTTACTGGTTAGGGCATAGAGCTTGGAATCCTGAGGTTCAGACTCCACTCCCACAGAATGTCACACTGGGTCCCTGAGCAACCACACTGCTCCCTGGGCACCGTACAATGGCAGCCCACAGTGGCATCTCTGCATTTACTGGGTTAAATGCAGAGAGGAAATTCTGTTGCTCTGTACTTGTGATAGTGTAAGGACAATAAACAAAAAAGTTTAAAAAAATATATAACATTTAGACTATTTCTCAGGAATTATTTCATAACATTATGTGTTATTTCCAAACTGTCTGTCTTTGTTTTGGGTAGAGACGTGTGCAGACCTTCACAGCCTTTCTGCAGGGTTAATTAGAGAGAGACAAATTCTGTTTTTTCAGAGTAGGACTGAATACCATTCCATAAGGTAAATGGTAAAATGGTAAATGACCTGTACTAATATATCGCTTTTTCAAGTCAGGAGACTTGACCAAAGCGCTTTACACTACATTCACCCATTCACACACAAACAGACACTCACACACTGATGGTGGCAAACTACATTGTAGCCACAGCTGCCCTGGGGCTCACTGACAGAAGCAAGGCTGCCGTACACTGGCGCCACCAGGCCCTCTGACCACCATCAGTAGACAATGCAGGTGAAGTGTCTTGCCCAAGGACACAACAACACTGAAAGGGCTGTATAATGTCTTGTTCTCATCTTGCTTTGCAAAGTAAAATAAAATGCTGACTGTAAATCTGTTTATTTACCTGGAGTGTATAGTTGAATACATTTTCAGTTTTATTAACTAACAAAGGCAAACTCGACCAGAAAAAAAGAAACGTTTCTATGCAAACTCTGCCATCTGGGACTTAACAGACAGGTCCGTACATCAGCCACTTCCACTTAAAATTTAAAGTGACAGAGTTAAAACATCCAAGCGATCTTGGGAGATATGTGCTGCTGAATGAGGAACGTAAGAAATAATTATTGATGGAGATGTTTTCAGCATAGCCTGAATGTACCTGTATGTTTCTGAAGTTTGGTGTAATTTGGCTAAATAAAGGCTTCACTGCACATACAGTAAACCTTCACTACATGAGGTCTTTTCTATTTCTTTCTATGTATTACAATCATACATTTAAAGAGTGAAATATTACCGGTAGGTTCTATTGTGTCTTAATTTACCAAAGATCTTCAGCTAGTTTATTTATAGGTTTGTGAACTTGCTCATTTTTTGAAAAAGTGAACTATAAACATGAACTAGTTCATTTTCATCTGTGTAAAAACAACACAATACAATGTTTTTCAGAATACGTAGCTGTAAATGGTCTAAACTACACGGTTACCACTTTGAGCAGGCAGTGAGGCTGATGTTAAGTGTAGTTTCAGTTCCTGAAATACACAAGGAAGTACTTAAAGGTTTTGTTTAAGAAACAAAAATGTTTTTTTAATGTTTGATATGCTATCTGTATTAATCACTTTGTAGTTGAGAGGACAAGATGGAAGCCCAGAAAGGAAAAAAAAGCAAAAAAGGAACTGTACTTTCTCGGGCACAAAAGGAACATACTTAAAATTGCCAGTGATGTAGTGAAAGCGTGCCTACAAGAATGTTTTACTTCTAAGTTTCACAGCAATGGCCGTACAAAAAAGGGAATTACAGCTACAATCATTTCATGTTTTCTTGCTATATTTTGAATGTAAAAGTTGAAACTACACATGTTTAACAGATAAGCAGTAACCATAGAAAGTCTGACCCTCAGGATGTGAAGGATGCATGTGAATGATATGACAATAGACATATGAAAACAAGTGATCTGGCTCTATGCTCTCAACAGGAAACAGGTCATATCCTCTGAGCATAAAACATTGTACTGTGAAACACCACAATGCTTTACGATGCTGAGCTGGAGATTTTTTCTAATGGCTCAGAATATTTTGCAGCAAGTTTATGTGATGTTGATAGAAGAAAAAATAATTCTAAAATTGACTTTATAATTTGGGCTTATTACAAGCAATTAATCGCAAGCAATGTATACACACATATTATATACAGATAACCATATCCTATGTGAACCATGTTATAAGTTGATATATTAACATACATATGCATAACTTGGTTAAACCACAGCAACTTCCTGTACCTCAATTTCATCATAGCAAGATCAAGATCAGTTCTGTATTTTCAGGTCTGCTACAGCTGAATGATGTCGTGGAGCTTTGGTAACGTTTGCATCTGCCTCTGCTGTAAGTTTACTTGGATTTAGAAAATTTCATAAGATCTTTGGGGTTGATAAAAATATGTTTTAATTGGTAATGCTGTGTTACTGATTGATATAGCAAATGCAATCAAGCATGTTTCAGAATTTGAATCTGGAGGTTGGGTAACTTCAAACAAAAGCCAGAAATGTTATCATATTTTATACATAACCTTAACAATTTTATATTTTTTCATTGAAAAATAATTATTTTTGCAAAAACTTTCTTTTTATAATTTACCACTGCTACTAATAATATTAATGATAATAATGACACTAGTAATAAAACTTACTACTTAAACTTACAATAATAATAGCTTGGACAAGGGCTTGGACATATTACCCTATCAACAGCAGCAAATAAAACATACAACCAGAGGAGACAAAAAATCTAGAATGAATTATACAAAGCAATATCTCTATTCAAAGGATATAGAACTATTTAAATGAAGATGTGTTCTGTTATTTTGCTTTCATCAAAAAAAAGAGAAAGATGAGTTGTTATAATCGTAAACGGTGATTCAGGAAATCCCATGTAGTTAAACAAAAACGATGGATGAGGTTTTGGCTAAATAAACAATAATCTTTAATATACAGAATATTTTCTTAAGTTTATTTCAGCAACTTAATTCACCAATCAAAACAAGTTATACAAATGAATTAAACACTGAACGGTGTTTTCAAGCCTTGACTTGTGTTATGTGTATTTTCCACAAAAAAAATTTAAAAACACAACAGTTAAGATCAGAAAGATACATGGAAAATGTGGGCTTAATGAAAATTATATTTATTACCAACTTAAAAGTTAATTTCAAATGGTACTTTTGTCTAACAATTATGCCTCTGAAGAAATTATATTTTAAAGTATTGGATATTAATGTACAAGGAGAATAAGAATGTTATTTGAAGAGAGGTATTTCACTTGAAGTGTGAGGAAAAAGCTTGAACACAAATAGTTTTTGCCAGTTGGCTAATACAGTATGAGTACATTTTGAAATCTTTGAGAAGTTAATCTTCTGGAACAGAATAAAATTTAAAAGCTAGAATGTAAAGTTTCACATGTCTATATTGGTTTTTATTTAGTGTTAAACATTCTACGTTTAATATTTAATTTAAGTGTAAGTTCATAATTGCAAAGAAAATGAAAAGTAAAATCTTTCTTCTAATGTGATGAAACATAGCAACACTGAACACAGATCTCTTGTTATAAATTGTAGATTTATTTTGTTTTATCTTATTGTTGAAAGGCACGGTTACTTAAAGCTCTAAACAATTTTGGCCCAGACAACTTGTTCTATATGAAAATTTTATTTATGTAAATATTCTTCTACAAAATATTTAGAGCCGTTTACTTGGAAGGTTGGAAGGTGAACCCTAGCTTTTCTTCTTTTTTTCTATTCATTAGTTGTTTTTTTATGTAGATCTATTGTGTTTTTAATAATAGATAATCTTAACCAATAAAGACTTTTAATTGAAAAAGTCACAAACAGCAGCTACAGAAAATAACGCCCCCTTCACTTCCGTTTACTGCAGCGATCCTACTTTTAGAAGTTGCAGCACTCAGAAGCTTTAGTTAGTGCAAACCAATAAGGACACTTCTTACATCCTTATCTTTAGTCCCTACTCAGGATGTTTATATTCCCAGCACTCAAAAGTTCAACCAAAACAGGGAGCATCAAAATCAAAAGTTTGAGAATCATAACCAACAAATTCTAACATGTGCAAATCTTTTTATTTGATGTTGTTGCTTTTTCTCTTTGTGAGAAAAACTGAGTTATTTTTAACAAAAAAATATTTTTTCAGGCAAAGTAAAATATTTAATTAAAATTCTAAATACAATTCATCTTTTTGACTGAGATTAGTTTTTGTTTGATTGAGCAATATTGAGCCATATTATCTCAATAGTTTAGATGTAAACCACAAGTGCAGCCAAAACAATATAGTTTTATACCTTTCTTCTTTGAACTATACATGTACTCTGGTGAACCTTGCTGCATACATCTTCAAAGGTTACAGTATATTTGCTATGTTTCTTATGTCATGTTTTTTTTTCTCTTTCTCTTGCAGTTGCTTCTTGTTGTGTAGTTAGTGCAGCAGCAGTGATCCATGAATCTGGATATGAAGGCAAAGGAGTTAATATTACTTGCCACTATAATTCCCAATATGAGAGCCATGAGAAGTATCTATGTAGAGGTGACTGTAACCAGGATGCAGATATTCTGGTCAAGAGCACTGAAACACGGAAAGGTAGATACTCCATCAGTGATAATAAACAGAAGCATTTTTTCGTGGCGACCATTTCTTATCTAAGTGCTAAGGATGCCGGTAAATACTTGTGTGGCGTGACCAAGGTTGGATATGACCACTTCCCTTCAGAGGTATCATTGAAAGTAAAACAAGGTAATGAAGGCCTTCAATTGAATTATAAGGGTTTGATGAAGAATAAGTCTTTTGATTTGTTTTGAAGCTTTTTTCTCTCTATGGGAAAAGTTTCATGTTCTAAGCATAACCTGAAAACAAGCTGCAGTTGTCTTCATCTTTAATTCTAACTTTCTAACAGAGTGGTGCTGTGTGAAGACCAACAATATGAGTGGGATTATAGGAAGTCCCATTACGTTCTCTTGTCCTTATCCAACACAACACAAGAATAATAGGAAGTTCATCTGTAAGGGAGATCACCGTGACAGCTGCGCTGATGTAATGATAATTGGAAACAGGTTCACTCTGCAAGATAACGTCTCTTCGAGCTCTTTCACAGTGATGGTCACCAGGCTGGAAGAAGGGGATGGAGGAATGTACTGGTGTGGTTCAGACGCAAAGTGGACTGCAGGAAATTATACTAATATTCAACTGACAGTCGGTAAGACACCAAAAAACAGAAGAAAAAAGACAACAACAGATAAATAAGAATTTAAAGTCCTAGGGAAGTCATATTTAAGATTTTAAATCACTCTGGCTTAAATATGTAAATGTACTCTTTATTAGACCATATTGTCCCAAAAGTTAGAATATCTCTATAAAAAAAAAAATCCTGTCTTAAAATCTGTGTTGTTTTTGTTATTTAATGCAGGCCATTTAGTTACAGTATATGTCAGCTTGTACACCTAAATTCGGCCAATCATATATCAATGGTAATCTGTCAATAACATTTTTTTGGGCATAGCATCTTGATTCATATGTTGCAGTTAGTATAGGCAACGGTTGAAATAAGAAATGAGAATCATTTACTTACCATTGAGTTACATCAATAGGATGGGCGTCTCTGTCTTCGGCAGGCGTAGAGCTAACAGGACTGGCAGGGCTGCGAGGCAAGGGCTCAAACATGTACGGCTGTAAGCCTTCTACACCAAACGAAGTTTCTGCCGCCCTGGCATGGTCTTCCACAACAACTTCGTCCGCGCTTTCCTCCTCTAGATAAAAAATGTATGACGGAGGCGACTCATCCACGACCTTCGACACAAAACTATCCTCCTCTTGCATGTTTCCACTGTCCATAGCGTTCCTTGACAGTGTCATTGCTAAGTGCTACTTGGTCCCAATGTAATTTCCCATTAGGAATCACCTAGCACTAAGTTGCTAACTGGTTAGCAAGATGCTTCGAGACAGTGGCCACAACCAAACTTGCTTGCGAACCTTCCGCCACAACAATCCCGACCCATCACATTCACTTTATTCACTCGTGTAAAATTGGTCATCACTCTGGAGAATTCGGAACTGCAGCCGTTGGAACAGCCGCTTCCCTACGACTTTAATAAGTTTCTGTTTTGTTTTTATTCTCTTCAGGAGGTTGAGAAGTTGATTGCAAATTGTGTAAAGACATTTATTCAGCTCTTTAGTCAGTGATCTGGTCACGTTTCTTTGTAGGCTGTTAAATATCTCACTTTAGTTCACATATCAGTATCATGATCATACCGCATGACTTGTGAAACTACTGTGTCATGCACGACTACTGCAAAGAGACTAAAACTCCAGCGGCAGCTTTTTCTGTTGATACCTACTTTGCAAAAGCTGGTAGATTGTCTTGAATACTTCAGAAGTTTTACAGTTTTTTTTGGATTGCTTAAGCAAGATTTTCGAAACAGGGCCTGTGTTTTCAAAACACTACACACAATTAGCACCACCACACCCAATTAACAAAACACTACAGATCCTTTGCATAATTAAACACTACACTTTACAATAAAAACCACACTTTGTTACCATATGAAACTCACACGTTTCACATTACTATACTCTGTTTGCACAAGTTACACCCTGCTGTGATAAACCTAAAACACTTTTAGCACTTCTACTTCCCTATGATTAGAATTGGCTACCATCAACAAAGTACTAATATAATGTAAATTCACCAAACACTACACAAGACCAATGTTGCAGACTGAAGAAACTCATTTATTTCTCAACACACCCAAAATGTTGACATGGAGATTCATAATACTGTAACAAAATGTCACTTTACGTATTGTACTGTAAGTTTACTGTAAAAAAAAACAAAACAAAACCAAAACTAGACATTGTCTCTTCGCCTAGCTGGATCTAGCCAGAGAATTTCATCAACATCGCAGGCAATGTTGTCATTAGCAAGACACCTTGGAAAGAAACGTCTTGAATGACGAATCCATCCTTGCATTGCTGCTACCTCCATCTGGTCACAGGCCTCCTCCATGGCTTGGATGAGGGATACCTCAGCCTGGAGACGGAGATCATATACCTTCCACCGCCATGCCAAGAAAAACTCTTCAATGGGGTTGAGAAATAGAGAGTATGGTGGAGGATATAGGACGGTGAAATGTGGAATGTTGCTGAAACCAGTTCTGAACCAGAGCAGAGCGGTGGAAAGACACATTGTCCCAGACAACAATGTATTGCATATGATCAATTTGATTTGCTGCTGTGTTGTAAGGGCCCATATGGGCATGGCGGTGGAGGACTCCATTCTGTGTAATGGCTGCACAGAGTGTTATATTACCCCCACATTGCCCTGGGACATTGACTATAGCCCTGTGGCCAATGATGTTTCTTCCCCTCCTTCGTGTTCTCGTCAGGTTGAACCCAGCCTCATCTACGTAAATGAACTCATGCTGGATCTCCTCTCCATCCATTTGTAAAACTCTCTGAAGAACAGTGTCAGGCAAAATTGTGTTCAGTGTAGATCTAGTATACATATTACAGTACAGTAAAAGATTATGAGACAATATGCAAGATCACAATGCTTAGGTGAATACATACCTCTGCATAATCATGGTGCTTTTGCACCATGATTATGCAGAGGTGGAGGAGAAGGTGTGCAAACAAGTGTTTGCACACCTGATGACTGTGTTGAATCAATTGGTTGGAAGGTGCTGTAATTTGACAGTCAGTGCTTTGGTATTGCAAGGAAGTGACTTCATAATAGATTTTTGTGTGTAATGTATGTTAAGTGTGTTTAGTGTTTTGCAAATCACTGTGTGTAGAGTTTTGCAACAAGTGTGAGGTTGACAATGTGCTTATAGTTGTGCAAATATGGGCTGATGTTTTGCTTCTTGAGTGTAAGTTTTGCTAATAGTGTACTACTTTTGACTTTAGTGTGTAAGCAATCCAAAAAAACTGTAATCAGGATTTTTTTCTTTCACAGAGCCAATTCTCTTTCTTTTTTAAAGTGTGGTGCCACCCACTTTATTATAAACCCTCTAATACTCTTTCAAGAGGGTGGCCTGGATCGGAGAAATACATAATCCCAAATAATCCCAATCTTACATTATTTCCCTGGTTGTGACTACACACCCACATAGACCTTTTTGTAGCTGTAGCAGTCACTGCTCCACTAATTATGGCTGTGTAAATTCTGCCTTTTATAGTTTGTGGGAAATGTTTATATTTCTTGCTAGGTAAGAAAATATGCGGTTGTGATTTAAGCCAATGTAAAATTGATTATTCATAAAGTTGCACTTTCCACTTTACAGAGTGGTGCTGTGGGAAGACAATCAACATAAAGGGCAATCTGGGATATCCCCTTAGTTTTTCCTGCCCTCATTCACTACGACATCAAGAAAATCTGAAGTTATTCTGCAAGGGGGATCAACGCAGCAATTGCACTGAAATGTTAAGGAGTCAAAGCAGATTCGTTCTGCAAGAGGATACGTCCTCTAGCTCTTTTTTGGTGATGGTCACAAAGCTGGAAGACAGTGATGCCGGGACATACTGGTGTGGCTCACAGTCAAAGTGGAGTTTTGGAAATTATACCAAGATTGTGCTGTCCGTAGGTAAGGGTTTATTATGTTGGAAACACTGCACTGAAAACACTAGATTTTTATAAGAAACTAAATACCACACATGTAAAACCTTATTTATGTGATAACTGGATGGGGTTTAATAGAAAAAAATATATAGGAAAGCATTTATTAACATTTCTAATAAGTAATACTATATTATCACACAAAAGAGAACCAAAACAAGAAAGTGATATATGGTTAACATACATGTATGTTATATGATTATTGTTATGTCTTCGACTGTCTCTCATTCTTTGTCTTCTGTTTCTACCAGCTACATTTTTTGTATTTTAATCTGCATTTAAGAAGATAGTATAAAATTGAATCATGCAATAAGGTGGTGTAATTTTTTTGTAATTTCTCACCTAAAACCAATAGAAACCCTCCAGCTGAAATTATGGACAACCAGGAGAGTCACTAAAAAAAAACTAAAAAAAAACAGCCCTTTAAAATCAAACGTTTCAATCATATTTCAAGCTCTGAAAAAGAGGACTCAGTTTTCGTGGTGGAGAGACAGTTAGTTTTCACAAAATTTTTATTTAAGATGGAACTGTAGAGAACGGCGTCGGTTCCTAATGCAGGAAGCTTTGCAGGGGTAGAACACAGGTTAGTGACCACGTCAACCTGGCAGAGGATGATTATGACTGTGTGAGTCACTAACCTGGTCTTAAAGTTCAGTCCATGACCACAGGATGAGGTTAGTTACAGCCGGTTGGCTCAACAAGACGTGGCAGATGTTGCCCAGAGAGTCCCAGATGCTGAAGTTCCAGAGGTCGGAGGACAAAGGATTCAGAGCCAGGAGAAAAGAGATCTGAAGAGGTACCAAAGGGAAATCCAGAAGGATCCAGAAGGAGTCTGAGGACAGGTCAGGCAAACAGATCAGAATGGGTACAGGCAGGCTCAGAGGTTCACAGACAGAACGGGTCAGGATCAGACAATCAGAATCACTTAGATACGCTAAAAAACTCTCTCTAAAGGCACAGATAATCTGGCACTGATGAATGGTTGAGGGCTAGTTAAATAGAGGCTAAAGTAGGTGGATCAGATGAACTGTAATGAGATCCAGCAACAGCTATGCAGATGAATGAGTAATCAGGAGTGATGCTATGAGATGAGCCGAGGCTTCAAGGCGTGTGTCAAAAAACGGAGGGGCCGTTTTCCCGATGCGTGTGTCGAGGCGTGAGGTTTGAAGCCTCTCTACCGTAATACTACGTGACCACTTCAGGAAGTGGTTCGGACAGCGCAACAACATCAACAGGCATTTAAACAGCCTTAGTATGCAGTCAAGCAACATATTCTCATTATCAGTTCGTATGAAATCCTACGAAAAGTTATGCACAGTATTTCGTACGTTTTGGACGTTTTTCCTCGAAAAAACAGATCAGTGCGCATGCGCAGCCAGACAGACGAAAAAAGCAGATCCGCGGACGGACGTAAAACTGGGAAAAAGAGTGCAATAATTACTTCTTGATGTCTCTCACTAGGTTGATTGCTGTTTTGTATCTTAGGGTTAGGGTCAGGGTTAAGGTTAATTGTATGTTAAAGTCTATGTTATTGAATGGTGCGTAACAGGCACATGCACAAGGATATCATGTCTCGAGGCAAGACGTACAAATACGACGAAATACGACGAAAAAAACGTCCAAAACGTACGAAATTACGGTGCATAACTTTTCGTATGATTTCGTACGAACTGATAATGAGAATACACTGAGTCAAGATGTGGGAGTTTGTAGGAGAATTGCTATCAGTTGGATAGAGTTTGGATATACCGTAAATTCTCTAATATTGGCCTGTATTCCAATAGCGGCCGGGACTCTAACATTGGCCGGTCTCGCTGTCAGAGGAGGTAAATAATGGCCGGTCTCTAATACAGGCCGGGGCTATAAACGTTTTTTCTGGGCATACCTCAACATTATACTTGTGGTAGTAAGTAACATACAAGTACCACAGCCCTGCGCAGCTGGACGACAGGCCCTGACTGCTGCCCGTCTGTGCGAGGAAGAGAACAGACACGCAGCAGAACAGGAGGAGCGCGAGTGATGAGGAGATTAAAGGGAGAGATGAAGAGGAGGAGGAAACTGAGGAGGAGAATTAAACAGAATTGGAGGATTTTTTTTTTTTTTTTTTCTTCAATCCAAGCGAGACATGGTAACTGTACTTTTTCAATAAATGAACCTAGTGTTTTATAGGTTCAAATAGACACAAAATCTCATTTTTATTCATTCCACTGGTAGTCTGTTTTGCTCAAATAGCAATAGAGGCCTGTCTCTAATTCTGGCCTCTATCCAATTAAGGCCTGGACCGCGATGCACTTGAGTGAAATAAAGGCCTGGGCCTATATTAGAGAATTTACGGTATTCTAAGAATAGATTGATTGGAAAAACAATCAATTTAGTTGGTTAAAACTGTTTTGGTCAGATTAAACAACGTATTGATCATAATCCAAGCAAACCACTGGTTATGGTTGTAACATTAGTGTTAAGTAATATTAATTTCTACTGAGCAGTTACTGTACCATTGCTAGTGGCGTCAGTTGTGAGACATGGACTACCATTCCTGAGGTTTTGGGATCGAGCCCGATCTTAGACATTTGAAAGTTGCGATAATACTTTGCATAACTTCCAACCTGATTAAAACCAAAAACTGTGGAATAATTATTTTTGAATAAAAATGACTTTCACTTTTCACTTTCTCATTATTGCCCAATTTGCACAAACACCGTCACTGTCTGCTTGAGCTTATTTCACTAAAATGGCAGAAAAACAGTGTACCTTAACTAATTGTTCTCTTTTAAGACATTTTACACAAAAAAACAACTTAAACAAGATTTCCAGGAGCCAAAGCTAAGAACTTTAATACCATGGTTGGTCTGATGTCAGAGCAGTGTTTTTATTTGTTTTAATCATGTCCTCACATTTCTAATGGGACAACCTATCCCTCTTTTTGGTTTTCATTTTTTGTCAAATACTGTTGCTAATTTTGCTTAATACTTGTAAAAGTCTTTTTTTATCTTTATTTCTTATTGATGTCAATTAGTTATTCCTATATTTTTCTTTTCCTGTTTCTTATAGTGTTTAATGGAAAATATTGCTTTGGGTTTTGTTAGTTGCCTTTTGCATTGCATTCAGAGTTGTTATGTTAAAGATCTGTGTTTTTTTTAAATTGTATATCTTTCTGACAGAGTGGTGCTGTGTAGAGACAAAAAAGATGGGTGGCATTGTGGGATATGCCTTTGATATGTCTTGCCCATATCCAGCACAACATTGGAATAATGAGAAATTTCTCTGCAAAGGAGAACACCGCAACAGCTGCACTGATGTGCTGCTGAATCAGAGCAGATTCACTCTCCAAGCTAATGAGTCCGCCAGTTCTTTCTTTGTGAAGATCACAAAGCTGGAAGAAAGTGATGCTGGGACATACTGGTGTGGTTCAGATCCAAACTGGAGAGCTGGAAACTACACCAAGATTGAGCTGTCAGTAGGTAAGGCAGTATAAGCAATGTATGATTAGGAAATATACGTAAATCCTTACTACAAATATTAAAAACAAATTTAATGCAAAAAAATTGAGTATCATAGTGATATTCAGGCTGCTTTCTTTTTTAAATTTGGGATTTTTGTTAAATATTGAAATTATTAATTATAAACAATCGCTAAGTAACACAATAGAAAATAGTCAGATATATGTCGTATATATCGTATATATCTGGCTATTTTGCTACCTAGTATTTCAGAGTAATTTTATTTTTATCCATGATTATAGATGAGGTGAAGGCTAAAACAAATGCAGACTACATGCCAACCGTTTTTCAGGTGCTTTTGATTGAACGGACGCACATGTAAATCTCTCAATTTTCTTTTCTTTCTTTTCAGGTCCTTCCACTCTTAAAATTGTGGTTTACATCATTCCTGCTCTCCTCCTTGTGCTTTTATTTATTGCAGTGATTGCAGTATATAAAAGCACACAAAAAGGTATGCATTACATCCATAGGTAAATAAATATTTTAAACAGACATACTGTAACTGTAAGCCGCAATTGTAAGTTACCAAAAAAATTGTCTTCAAGGAGCCACAAAAGACAAGAAAAGGAGAAAGCTCGAAGCTCTACAAACGGTGGGTGCCTGTATTGACTATGGTGTTTCCATTTAGTCATTTATGATGAACACCTTTCTGTTTTTGATTATATTTCCTAGATTTCTGAAAGGCCAGAAGATTACGTTTACAAGAGCTCCAGTCACAATTATAAAGCTGTGGATTTCCAAGAACAAGTTTATGAAAACCTCAAAACAGAAAACGATATTTCCTCTGTTTATATGTAATGCAGGGCACCTCATAAAGAGTGATTTGTCATTTAACCCTGAGCATTTGGAATTTCTGGCTAAAGCTTCCTTTCTATGATATAGAGAACATATTATTTAAAACAACTCAAGCAAGCAAATGTTGTATAAAAAGTTTGCAATCATACAACTGTAGCCCAACTGGTAGTTTTTTTTTTTATAAACAACACAAATACAGTATGTGTTCATAAATAAGAGATTAGTAGAAACAACAACCCAATTTGAAAGCTCAAATGCAACCTTCAAATATAACCTTTTTTTTAGCAAAGCTGTTTGGTATATCCAATAATTTAACATGATTGTAGTTATAAGATGAAGTCTCATCAGTTTACTTCGGGACCAAAGCGGCTTGGAGCTTTATTTACTCTGCTGTGCCATTAAATGGACTGTAAATGTAAAAGCAGGCAGAGAACTTGCAATTATACCATTGATCGGGAGTGTGAAGCTTTTGAAATAATTGCCAACGAATAAGAAGACAGTGGAACAGTAGAATAACATCATAATCAAGTATGATGTACATCCCTTTTTTATTGACTTCACCAACCCTCACAGTACCTCTCCAATAGGCCCTTTTATAGAACTTTTGTTTCCATTTTATTCACTTATAGCCGGAGTTGTGGCATGAAGCTAAGCCTCTGCAAAGTAAAAAAAAAAAAAAAAACAGAAACAACTATGCTAAGCATGTCCTCCTACATAAACTTTGAGCTATCTGCACAGTTTTCAGTTTGATCCACCCTCACCATTTTGGTTCTTAATATTTTGTGGCCAATTGGCAAACAGCAGTCCATACACATCATATGGCGGCCTTGTTTGGCCTGTCTTTAACGCCTCCTGAGCCAGGGTAAAAAATGTATCAGTAAAAATAGTCACAAAGAAGATATAGTAGAATGGGGCCAGTGAAAAAGAGGCTATCATTGTGTCTTTCTGTTAACATGATGGCATAGATGGATTTAAACAGAAGCGGGAAGTAGGTTGTGATGTGTATGTTTTTTTGTTCTTTTATTTGTGAATGTATGAATTATGCAAAAAAATGCAATTATTTCAATGTTAAGTTTTGCAAAAGTAAGGAGTCTCTGTTTTTTGTTGTTTTAGTATAAACTTCTGCTTCTCATTTCTTTTCAAATTGTTCCCCTATCAGGATTTGAATAATACTTACAACAAGAGGTGAAACCACTTGGAGTAACATTTGATGAGCAACTATCCTGGGAAAAACATATAGATATGGTGGTGAAAAATATGGGAAGAAATATGTCTTGTATTAAAAGATTTAGTTCTTTCATGACCTCAGCCTCTAGAATTTTGGTGGTTAAATCGTTAGTGCTGTCTCACCTGGACTACTGCTCTGTGGTGTGGTCAGGTGCAGCTCAGAAACATCTGGCTAAATTACAAACCGCACAGAACAGAGCGGCCAGGCTGGCACTGGGACTGCCCTGTGTGTGGACTCAGAGCTCTGCTGAGTTGCATGTGCGTCTGTCGTGGCTCAGAGTAGAGGAGAGACTAAAATGTAATGTTTTGTGTTTCCTGAGAAATATTATTGTTTGTGGAAAACCTTCTCTTTTGTTCAGTTTGTTACATTATGTGAGAAATGAGCACAATTATTCAACCAGGCAGGCAGCTTCTGGTCATTTGACTCGACCCATTCCGAGAACAGAAGCAGTGTGCAGGTCTGTGTTGTTCAGAGCTGTGACTCTGTGGAACAAACTGCCTCATAACATCTCGACTGCTACTACGAAAGGTGCATTTAAATCACTTTTAAAAAAACACTGTTGATAGCCTTAATATATGAATATTTGTGTAACATATTGTACTGTAATGTGATATAATTTGAAATGTATCGTGGTTCTTATGATGTGATCATTTGAAATGTTATGTGTATCTGTATAATTTTAAAGGGACCCCAGGAAGAGTAGCTGTCAAATTACTGACAGCTAATGGGGATCCAAATAAATAAACAAACAAATAAACATCAACACAAGCTTCATTACATGCTCAGTATCTTTCTGGGTTTTGAAAATATTCCAAAGCCTTGACAAAAAAGAAAACAAATAAGCCCCTTTTACCACTTTTTTGACTGCATACTCATTGGCTTCCTGTTGGACTGATGAAGCTCAATCCAACTCTATTTATGAAGCTCTATTAAGCAACCACAGCTGCCACAAAGTGCTATACATACCAAGTAAAGTTAAAGTTGTATAATAACATAGAAGTTTAACGGATTAAAACAAATATAATTAAATAAATGCATTAAAACAAATAAAACCATATAAAGAAAACAAAAAAAACCACAAAGCAAAAACAGAAAGTCTCATGCTGTGTTAAAAACCAAGGAATAAAAATAGGTTTAAAAACAGATAGTGAAGAGGCTTGTCTAATGAGGAGGGGGAGCTCATTCCACAATTTAGGAGTATCAGCTGAAAAAACTGTGCATCCATTTTCACCTCTGTAGCTCCAGAAGCAGCAGTTCAGCTGACCTGAGACACTGAGTGGGCGCATAGGGGTGGAGGAACTCAGCGAGATAAGGCAGAGCCAAGCCATTCAAAGATTTAAAAACAAATACAAGAATCTAAAAATTAACTGTAAAATGCACAGGCAGCCAATGGAGGGAAGCCAGGATGGGGTTATGTGCTCCCTCTTACGTTCTCAAGTTCAAAGGCCTGCGCCTGCATTTTGCAACAACTTGAGACATGCGAGGGGAGACTGGCTCACCCAACAATGAAGTGCATTACATTAGTCCACACTGAAAAAAGTGTAACATATGGCTGTTCATTCAAACTAATGACTTTTACTGTAAACTGGATAAAATTATTGATTTGATTGTGTAACTCATTCTTTTTAGATTTTGAGACATCAAGTTTGACTTAACCTGAACTAAATACATATACAAAGGACACAAAACAAAGTTTTTGATTTCTCTCAATATTAATATATATCAATTTATGACCTGCAGGTATTATTTTGCTTGTTTGAGTCGTATGTGAATTGCGCTTTTGCGCGCTGCAGTCAGAACATGTGATCAAGTCCAAGTTTTCGTCGTCTCCAGATCCTAGGTGGATTTCGCCCATTAATAAATGTAAGTAGCAAAGCACTTGCATGTAATCAACGTTATGCTATAGCTGGAGTTTGGAGTTTTGTTCGAGTTAAATGTTGAATGCTGGCAGCAGGAGCCTCCAGTGTTATGTTATAAAGAGCAGGAGGGCTGTTGTGGTGAGCATGTTAGCAAAGAATGCTAACTGCTCGGACAACTGTTACTGGGAACAAAGGTTACTGGGACCAAACACCATCACTTCAGTTTTTTTTTTTTTTTTGTAAAAAGTTCAGAGTCAACCAGGCTTTAATGTCATTAAGGAATGCCAGTAGTGGTGCAAGGGACAATTCAACTCAATTCAGTTTATTTATATAGCGCCAATTCACAAGATGTCTTCTCAAGGCACTTTACAGTTCACCAGATCATACAGTCAAATAGATTTAAAGTTTTCTATTTAAGGAAAACCAGTTGATGCATCGACTCATTGACTCAAAGGCAATCCGTTACACTAAGCATGCTTTTAGTGGAGAGGAAATACTCTCTTTTAACAGGAAGAAACCTACAGCAGGCTGGAGGCTCAAGGAGACAGAAGCAGAGATACCAAAAGACAACTGTAAGAGGCGGCCCCATCCAAAAAACACACAGCCAGGCAGATGAGCTCCGAGCCAGCTCCCATGTCAGAGGATGAAGAGAGCACATCTAGCCAGTCCCAGTCAGAGAAACAGGACTACACTGAAAAACTGGCCGATGTCCTACATCTATAAACAAGGTGTTGATGGAAGCAGCACAGCTGATATTTCTCTCCAGGATGGTGTCACAGCCAGGAACAGACGTGGCAAAGCTACTATGTGAAACAGCAGAGAGAGCAGAACGTTAGAGATTGAACTAACAGATTCTGCAGAGTGGAAGAATAGATATAGAATGGAGCAGAAGGATAAAATAGGGGTTCCTATGTCCTCCAGAAATCTAAGCCTATAGCAGCATAACTATAGAGATAGCTCAGGATAACCTTAGCCACTGTAACTATAAGCTTGATCAAAAAGGAAAGTTTTAAGCCTAGCCTTAAAAGTAGACAGGGTGTCTGCCTCACGGACTAAAACTGGTAGTTGGTTCCAAAGGAGAGGAGCCTGATAACAAAAAAATCTGCCTCCTATTCTACTTTTAGAAATTCTAGGAACCACTAGTAAACCTGCAGATTGAGAGCGAAGTGCTCTGTTAGGGACATAAGGAACAATCTTTCCGTAAAAGTTTTAAAAAACAATTTACTGGACTTGGTTTCCAAGGTTTGAAGACGTTTCGCTTCCCCTCCAGGAAGCTTTCTCAATTCAATGTCTGGATCCGCAGTGAGTTTAAAGCTTTATACAGCAAGGCATTGTATTGCTTGGAAACATGCAAATTGAAACGAGTGGGTTGTTTGGTTCCATTGTTAGCCTTTAATATCTGAAACCTGTCTATGATTCTGAAGGTAGGTCGTTAAAGGGGGG